GTTAAGGGTGTAGAGATCCAAGGGTCCCACACCAACGACGCTGTTCTGTCTCTGTGGACAGATAAATCGGCAATTAACCGAGCTTTCTATGAAACCTTGGTTCACAAACACGTGGGTCTAGGACTAATTAAAAAAGCTTTCCGCTTTCCATTAGTTCCCAATAGTTCACAGGTAATGACCGCGGAAGGAGTCATTAACCTAAAACTAAACTGGAACCAACGAGAACTGGTTCACCCGTTTCTCGTGATCCAAAACTTACCACGTGCAACCTACATAGGCTCTGACATTTTGTTAAGGTTGGGTGTCCACGTGGACACCATCAACAAGGTGCTGTGGTCCCTAAAACCAGCCACAAAGGATCCTCCTGTGCTAGACACAGCAAACCTTAAGGCTGGGCAGACCATTCCAGAGGCCTGCCAGGTTGCTAGCAACCAAACCACCACAGTACCACCTCAGGTGATTAACCTAATGGTGCGAAACCACATCATAGCTGGACAAGCTATTAGCCATAAACAGGCATATTTTCAACCTTCTCCTGCGTTTTTCAACTTGGGACTGTCCGTGGAAGCCTCGAACCAAGTGAGCCTTGACTCCAGGACCACATCTGTTGCTGTGTGTAACACAGGCATGGATGAGGTGCTGATCCCAAAAAACACTATGCTAGGATGGTTGATTTCCACTGATTTTCATGATTTTGAACTAGGCATTCCATTTCTGGGAGGACTCCCAGATAACCTGGTACCGAGTCAAGAAACTGGGCCAGTATGGTTCACAAAACCAACACAGGCCATAGCTTTTTTCTCAACCGATGACGTCGACCAAGGACCGCAAACCTATGGTGTCTTACCCATAGACAGGTCCGACGACTCAGAAAGGGATTCGTTGGAGCTCCCCAAAGAGCAAGAACCCTTATCAGTCTCATCACAGATTGAACAGGTGGTCGCCCAAGCCGACGCTCTGACATCTGATGAAGAAAGGGACAAACTTCGCCAAGTTCTTTTGAAATATGAAAAGTCCTTTTCAACTGACCCAGACATCATCCAACTTCAGAAGTTGGATCCTGCAATTAACTCGATGATACTGTATCTGACTGACCCAGACAAATACACTCCATCGAAAGGCGAACTGGATTCCAATCCAGACCTTGAAGTCCTCTTTCAGCTGCGCAAACAGTTAAAACTACTCAAGGACAACCTAACTTTAGCTCATGGAGCGACGTCCTCACCCGTGTTCACGGTCCCCCATGACCGAAGGGGGGTGACGCCAGTTAGGGTAATGTTACCAGACGCGATAACAAGATCAAATCTGACATTCAGAGTGAGTGGCGTACCGAAACGTTGTTTTCTACTTGTTTAATCACTACTTTTGTCAATGTTGAAACGTTGTTTTACTGGTTGCTTAGTCACTGTTTTTGTCGATGTTGAGACATCGTTTAATTGGGTTTTGGTATTGTTTCTGAGGTAAGAATGAGTTTTGTATGTATTTTAGTTGGAGACTGTAAAGGACTTTAACTATGCCAACATGCAGTTCACTCGTTAAAACCTAATCTTTACGGAGTCAATGTAGATTAATTTTACCTTAAGTACCATAATCTACATTGGTCTCACAACGCTTAAGCCGAACCTACTCAAACAATTCTATTCGGGGGGATAGCTAATTCTGTTTGATGAGTCTCGCCATAGACTCCAAAAACATTTATGGGGAAACCAAACACCCAATCTCAAGTCGTTCGTCTAAAAGACAACAGACAATTGAACCAAACTATATTTTGCCATGTAAAGCTAACTTAAACCAAGTTAGGAATGGAAAAATAGTTTGGAATGCCCTTCTATAGGTATAGACCCCTATAGTTAACTTTTTCAGCATGTTCCACCCCTTAACTGGTAGCTGGAGCTGTTGCCAGTCATAATAGCTTATACACTAGGTGCATATAGGTTAAGGCCTTATGTAAAATCCCCTTCATAAGCCCACCTTAAACCACATAATTGCATGACACATTGAACCAGAACGGCACCGACTGGACGTCACCCAGCGACGACCTTCGCTGGAGGAGACCTGCAATCCTGACGTTAGTCTCCAATCTGCATCCAATGGCCGTATCTATATGACTTTTTCCAATGGATTACAGACTTTGTTTCCAAGGGGTTAAAGCATTGCTACAATGGATTTACCAACAACATTATGGAAGTACCAACAACATTATGGATTTACCAACAACACAATGGAATTACTAAGAACATTGTGGGATTACCTCCTTTGACTTTTGTTTTTCCTTGTTGGATTACATCAAGCTCAAGGACTTTCAAAGGCGTAAGTTCATGTTGGAATTCATCCCCATGGACAGGCGATGATTTCCAAAGGGGGGACTGTAGTGAACTAAGCCTCAGGTCAAAACCTGATCCTGGGACAGGAACTGTTATTTCATTGATTTGAGTCCAGAAACACAAATTAAGCTCATCTAGAGACTTTCTGAGTGTGTCCTGCACTGGTCAATTGAAAGAACACTCTCTGTTCATTATCATTACTATTTTACAATATCTTGATAATCAAAGTGTGTTTAGTTCAAATCATTTTAAATGTTGAAGTGAACTACTCATTTTAAATCAACTGTGAAATAGTATAAATGATTTTTAATCCTCATTCAAAGTAGAAATCAAGTTAAAATGCCTGTTACAAGTAATGATGCCTTTGATCTTCTGTCTGAAATGAGAAGGAGTGAGTCGGTCAAAAGTCAAGGAACGGTCAAAAACATGTTTATCGGAACGAAATGTCATGTTTAACTCTCTCAGATAGATAGAAGGAGACTGGCTCCTAAATGTCTCTGTTTCTTCAAAACATCTTTCTGTCTGTTCTTAAAACAATCTACTCTGTCTCCTTGACTTGTAATAACCTCTGACGTCACTAAAACCACACCCCGGTTGGTTCGTTCAACCAATCAGGAAGTTCTCAGAGGAACCGGAAGTGACCTCTTTAAAAGGGTCAACACTTCCTAGTTCTAAGCAGAACAAAGTTCCAGAGCAGAACAACGTTCCAGACATGAACCAAAGTTCTGAGAGCAGAACCGAATGAAAGTTCTGAAGTGCTGGAGTTAGTTGGGAGTTCTTCCGAGTCTCGTGGGGATTATGGAATCTTCCACATCTGAGTGGAACTCTGACGGGCTCACAGCTCATGTGAGTCCACCCGGGAGGTGAGCGTGCTGTTGAACGAAGTACCGTCACTACTCCGGACGGTTCTCTGCTATCCTACGGAGACGCTGAAATGGTAACGCTGAAAGAGAACTCTACACCGAAGCTGAGATATCTTCTGCGAGGTACAGAGTCGATTTCCACTACCGAAGTGTACCGAGGTAGAGCTGGGTTCGAATGGAGGGTGTCGTTCTTCGTCAACACATTTTCCCTCACACATCTTTTCTCTCCATTTAAACTCCTTCATTCCCCATCTTTAAAACTCTTCTATCTGCCAGCAATTAATCCAGATATTTTCAGAAATGTCTGTTGGTTTCAAAAGCTGCAAGTGAGAAAATCATGGCCGTATGATTTTCTCAGTGCAAAGCTCATTAATTAAGCTGTGTTAATTGTAATCAATATGTCAATTAATGTAAATGTGTGATGTGTTTTAAATCGTTTTTAATTAAACGTCTCACTGTTGTGGTGAGTCAGAAATTAAAACACGTTTCCGTCCACATTTAATCATTCAAGGCACGATAGTACTCAGTCCAGAAAAATGAAAGAATCCGTTTAAATTATGGATAATATCAGACAGGTATCATTCATTACAATCATTAAACAGGTGTGGAGGCCGCCAGGTTCATCTGTCCCCCTCTTACTTTGCTCTGATTGCTAGTATCACTCAGCCCCCTGTGAATAGTAAACAGCCATCAGTGTGCTAATGATCCATTGTTAGGCTGATGGTCCTTCTTGACCATGTGAGCAGCTGGTTTTGGTTGTCAGCAGCAAACTGGTTGATCCACTCTGAGAAGGTGCTATTTAAGAGACTGAGCTGAAAACAGCACCTCAGACTGAGGAAGTCTCTTGGATGAGAGACGAACGTTTCTATATATTTTTGCTTTGTTTTGTTTATTGTTTTTTTGAATGTCCAGAGGACCAGATTGAACTTTTTTGGATACTTACCATATAGTCAAGTCAGTCAATATGGAAATCAGAACAAAATATATTCACTTTTTACTTTTTTTAGTCTCGGTAAATGATGCATTGGAAAATACTGTAAAAAATATGATATCCTTCTCACCTACAGGAACTTTCGAGGAAAACTATCATCTCTTCACCTTGCTAAATCAAATCATAAGATTTAATCCACAAAATAAACAAAATCCTATTAAAAAGCAACATGGGAAGAACCTTCTTGTGTACTGAATCCATCCCTGCACAGATGCTAGATAAATATTGTACTATATTGATGTTTTTCAAAAAAGTAATGACATGTTTACCCTACTGGGCTACAGGTGGAATGTTTTAAAGCCAGTTCTTTGAAATGGCAAGAAAGTGACATCACAATATATTTTGTCTAAATAAAAGTGTTTAGTGTTTTGACCAAAAAAAAAAAAAGAATTGTGAACTGACATTGTGCTTATTTTTATGCAAATCTGTGTTTATATGTTGCTCCTGGGGTGTAACGTTTTAACTGTGGAATATTTTTTACAGTGTGTAGGTAATGGTAAAAAATAGTCACTTACAGCAATGACTGCTAGAATACAAATCAAACCTAAAGCAAGCTTGTCCTTTTTTTTTTTTTTTTTTTTAACCAAAAGGCAATATTTAACTAACTGGCACTTGAAACCCTAATTTGTATGCATTAAACTTTTCAAGATGAAGTTGACTTACAAAATTTCAATATTTAAAGGACAAAGAATAGACCTGAAAACAACTTACCTTGGACTCTGCTAGCTTTACTGATTTCATTAATGATACAAGTTGTTGAAGAAAAAAATAGCACAGGCTGTTATCTGACATTATTAACCACGTCCTTCTGTCTTTTCACAGCCCTGCACCCTCTATTAGCTGGAGAAGAGTGGACAGGGTGCCCTTCCCCAGGAAAGTTGACATGAGAAAGGCCAGCGGCATCCTAGAAATCCCATATTTCCAGCAGGAGGATGCTGGCACATATGAGTGTGTGGCTGAGAACTCAAGGGGAATGAACACAGTCAAGGGAAAGATCTCTTTTTTTGGTAGGTGATCCTGTTGTGCATGAACATTTGACCGTGGTGTCAAACTTTCTCAGGCTAATACTCAGAACAAGCAGACAGAACAGTTCGTACAAAGCAGTCGGCAGCTCAGCAGAGGACTGTTGGCATATGTACATGAGGCGAGAGGCTCGTTTTAACAGCACATCAAAATGATTAAAGGCTGTCAGCCATGATGCCTCTAATATTTTGATCCAGATTAAAGGAGTGATCCGGATGAGGCTGAGCCCTTGGATATGACCTTGTTGGTGAGCTTTGCATTGGTTGCACCAGATGGCATTATGATTGACATCCAACTTGACTGAAGATCAAAGCTGTTAAAAGGACTATACATCTAGCAGTGGCACATATGTCAGGGGTATAATCTGCACAGCAGCATCTGGATGAGCAGGATGAGGGTTTGGACAGTCACACATTGTCAATGGCAGTTTTACAATCGGAGTGGCACCTGCTCAATTTAAGTACCGGACATCAATATCTGCGGACCTCTACTTTTTAAATCCAAGCATAAAGTTCACCAGCTCAACAAAGATTCACTGACAGGGTATGAGAGTTATAGAAGTATTAAAGTTGAAAGCAAAAATGCTTTTCGTCCACCAAGAAATAAAAAGCTTAAGCCCAGAGATTAGTGTGGAAATACTGATGAGCCAAACTTCATTTGGTTAATGTTAAGGAGGTTTTATTAAAGCAAACAGCTATCCTGGATTCATAACTTCCCTGTTTAGTGTTTGGAAACCACCTGACAAAGAAGTAGATTTTTACACCTAAGCAATATGTCAGCAATAAGTTTGTCAGTTATGATACAAAATGCATTAAATAAATCAAAGAAATTAGATTTTATTTCTTTCAATTTAGAATGTCATCATTAAAAAAAATCATAGCAGACAATTCAAATTTTTATCTTCTTTATTCTAACCCAAAACACAGAAAACGAATGAGCCAGGGACAACAGACAACTTCAGCCATTTTAAAATTCAAGAACTGGGTGCATACTGAGTATTAATATTCCTCAAGGATCAAAAATATACTAATACTCATCTACATCTTTATAAAAATGGTGCTGAAGTTTCTTGATTGTCTTTAACTCGACAAGGCCAATGCTTGAAGTCTTGTTGCTTTCCTGACTGGCTGCAGCTGCTGGGTTTTTTTAAGCACTCATGTCAATACTGCATTAGGAAAAATACTAAGAGCTCAGTGATGTTTTATGATCAGATCAAATAAAGACTATTTTGCCAAACTGACAGGAAGCATGTTCAACAGAGTTTATGTCAGGCTGTAAAACCTAAGATCAATGCCAAGCATGGTAGTGATGGCATCATGCATCTCAAAAGATCAATAAAATAATGAAGAAGAACTACTTCCAAAATCTTCACCTTCAGCTCAGTTCAACAGCTACACAGATGACACATTGACACATTTGGGCATTTTAACACACTAATGATGTTAAACAGTCATGAGAACTGATTTCTGATTGGGTAAAGCAGACTAACATTCTTCTTGCGGACTAGCCTGCCCAAAGCCATGAACTGTGTTTAAACTCTTGACTGTACAAAAAGCCTGTCGTCTATATACAACTTGTTAAGAAAAATGTCTTCAAAAACTTAATTACATTAGTCCATCACTACTTTGTGGTTCATTTATCGCGGACTCGCTCTGTTGCGGTTTTTCAAAATAAGATTGGACATGACACACAATTGGCTAATTGATGGATGAGCCGCACGATCGGCATGGAATTTTTATTTAAATAAATTATTTTAAATTATTTAACAACGGCTGTATCTTTGTGCAGCCCAGAGCTGCAGGATAAACTTCATGCTGCAGCTGATCAGCTATTCACCATGCAGAGCAAAGAAGTGGGCGTGGCCAAGAGCGCTTGCAGGTGGCAAAGATCAGAGGGGGCAGGGAGCTGAGATCATGACATTCTGTGCTCTTTTAGAACTTTAGAGTTTAGAAACATTGTTTAGAATATTGCAAGAGTGTGGGAAGGGTTTAAAACACCGTACACACACACACACACACACACACACACAACTACTATTTACTACTTGTACTACCATTCCCATTTTACATTTTTTCACTTATCGCATGTCTTCAGGTTATGGATCCCCCGTGATAAACGAGTGACTAATGTAACTCCAAACTTTCCCACCTAATTCTATTATTTTATGATTGTTGAAGATGTATGTTGTATAGACATTTCACAGTAGAAAAAGGATGGTTCAGTTATATAATTCTGTCAAAATTAATAATACAAAATATATTGAATGTATATAAACATATACCACACACACACATTATACCGTATTTTCTGGATTATAAGTCGCAATTTTTTGCGTAGAGTTGTCAGTCCTGCGACTTATACACCAAAGCAACTTATATATGTTTGTTTTCCATATTCATAAAGCAGTTTTTGACTGACACTTTAAATTGATAAGAACTGCAACAGCGAGTCCTCCCCTGCGCGCTCGCTTCACTCAGTTGGTGCAGGCGGAGGAACGCTGAAGAGCTAGCAGCTCTGGCTGAGATGGATGGATGGATGGATGGATGGATGGATGGGTGGATGGGTGAGTGGGTGGATGGATGGATGACACTGCTCCACCCAGGCAAAATAAATCTGTTTTGACCATTAAATAAATGCATAATAAACATGACGGGTCAGCAGTGATGCATAATAAATGCTTATACACCAAAGTGACTGATATATTTTTTTCCTCTTCATGATGCTTTTTTTGACTGATGCGACTTATACGCTGGAAAATACAGTATATATCTGTGATAGGCCTTATTTATCCTTCTGATATGACTCATCTCTTTCATTTTTGATGTATGTTGTCAGCTTCTCTCTATCTCCTCCCTGCAGCCAGGTGATAAAATCTTATTTTGAACTTTTGAATTAAGCCTTTGAGACATCTGTTAGTACTGAATGCCAGTGGTGATGATCAATGTCCGTGTGTTTTCTATGTTATAGCACATTACAGTGGAGAGAGTTCCCTATTTTGAATAAGAGGAATATATAAAAATGTTATTATATGGTATATTGGAAAAAAAAATCTTAAATGCTCTTAAAGTAGTGGGTAATATTTAATTGATGAGCTCTGAATTGTGCCCTTTAATGAACTTTCTGCTATTTTTTTTTCTTGTAATAAAGCTCTCTGAATAATATAATCAACAAATCATTCCACTGTACGGTAATTATAATCATCTTTGTACTATATATGTATGTACTTCTTTCTGTTCTTTGTGTTCTTGTTCTTCATTCATTTGTTCCCTTTTCAGATGTCATCAGCCAGTCAACCTTCATATTGTTATATGTAGTTTATTTTATTTATGAATACTCTATACATAAATGTATATTTTTGCATAGTTCTGACTTGTATCTACTTTTAAATTCCAGTGCTTTTTGGAAACAAAATGATTATTTTCTTGTTGGTACCCGTATTACTCAGACATAAAGTGAAGGTGAAGCAGCTACAGCTTCGTTTTCCAGCTGTTCTTGCTTTTGTGTTTCTTCAGATTTACCACCGCATTATCTCAGTGGGATTTCACTGATAAGGCAAATTCTCATCTTTTCTTTGTCTCTTGACGTTTGGCCTGATTGTTTGTTCAATCGGCTCAGTATAGGCTGACATGGGCTGCCTGCTTTCATTTGGTGAGCTTTGACTGAGAGTCGATGAGTTCGCAGCAGGCGAAGGATGGAGTGAGGCACCTTGACAACAAGGGCACAAAAGGCAACGACGAAGCGTTTCCAAAGGCACCGTGTGCGTGGTGGCAGTCTCTGTTGGAGAGATGCAGTATAAATTATATGGTGCAGACAACAAATGGCTAAGTAAATGAGAAGTCTGGTATAACGTGCCATTCCCCCTAAAGTGCTTAAAAATTAACACTAAGTTAAAAAAAAAAATCAGTATTTTGATATTCTATCTTTCAGATATATACAGATACAGTGAACTTTAGTCTTTTTTCTGTAACAGAATAAAAACAATGTTCTTTTGACATGTTTCAGTAATAGGACATTGTAACTCATTTCACTGTTTGGGCAAATGGCAAAGACATGGCCCCGTTGAAAGTCTAATGTTAACAACCTCAACTGACCTTGTTTAGCCAGAGTAACCTCTGAGACCTGCAGAGCACAAAGAACCACAACCTGTTCTGATTCTGAGTTTGTGAAAGACTCCAGCAGATCTGCAGAAATCCACCTTCTGGTCTATCTTAGCCTGTTTATTTGTTGTGTGACTGCCTTCCAACACACACACACACACACACACACACACACACACACACACACACACACACACACACACACACACACACACACACACACACGGGTTTGTTTTGCTATCTTTATGGGGCCTTTGCATTGACTTCCATTCATTTTTCATTCATATCTATAGCCTAACCATGACCTTTATCCATAACCTAACCATTACCAGTACATACCTAACCCTAAACCTAACACATCCTCAATTCACACCTTAGTCCTAAACCTAGCCCCTAACCCACCAACGGGACTTCTTCTTATGGGGCCCGGGCTTTGGGCCCCATAAGGAGCAGTTTGTCCTCACAATGCAGTATAAGTTGGAAAAATGGGCCTCACAAAGTAGCATAAACAAGGACACACACACACACACACACATTAAAGCCTTAATGCACAGAGAGATCTCCATCTGGGCCTTACTGTCAGCATTTACACTGTTGTTTTTTTCTGTTTATCATAGTTTTAGTTATTTCAGCCATTAAAGTACTACAATGTTCAGCTTGTTTACTTTTTCCATGTAGAATTTTGTTTTTTGTAATGTATTAACTTTTTGATAAATACATTTATTTGCAGTCATTTTATAGAAAGAGATTTCTTCAGATCCTTTAAAACCAACATTAGCATCTCCTTATGAGTCCTTTTTGTCTCCATATTCATTCAACCTTTATTTAGACAGACAAATCCCATTGAGCCTCCAGGACTCATTTACAAGAGAGACCTGATTTCAACA